AGTCCATTTGTAACTTTCCAGAATCAAAGTTCTAATCACCCTTTTGCTGTTTATTCCAAAATAATTTTTTAAGTCCTTAAACTTGTATTTAAAACTTGTTTTGCTAAGGATTGAAGGAAACTCACCTGTGCTTTATAGCTTGTCAATCCAAAGGTTCCTAATAGCTGAAAAGCAGTTAACAAGCAATTTCCGAAAGTGATTAGAAAACGAAGTATACAAACCCAGTGTCTTTTTGAAGGTGTCAACCATGGTTTGAGCAAAAAGATGGCTAAAAAAAGATTTCCCAGAGCAATAAACCTGCTAGAGACCACTGTCTTACAGTCTTCTCATGAGGAGCAACTGTCTGGAGCACTTGTGGGTGATCCTGTCCTCTCCTTGTCTGGAGAAGAATTACAAAGATCTGGTCTACTTGCTGGCTCTTCGTTCCACTGCAGTTGTCAGCTTCGCTCTTCAGTTCTCCATTTCTTCCCCAGAAATCCCTATAAAGAACATATTTCAGTGTATGTTTATGACAATTCACAAATCTTAATCTTCACTAGTAATTATGGCAACTAACTGTTAGCATGTCATTCTAGATTAATGAACTTGTTATACCCAAAGTTCTTAGATGTAATATTCTAACTCTTTTAGCATGTTTGTTTGGCAGTGGCAGGCTAAGGCAGAATCCGGAGGGCAAAGGGCCAGTAGGAGAAATTGAGAGAAGTTAAATAGGAGAAAGGAAGAAGAAGAGAATATAGAAAATACCATTCCATTGTTGTAGTAGAAACTATAAGAGAAAATGTTATTCACTAGTTTAAATGAATCAATCTAACTTGCACTTTCCATTTAATGTATAATGTATAGCATTTGCCCTTGGATTGGATTGTTCTTCCACATAGTGCAAGGGAAGGTTGTGTGTGAAAGTGAGATGAAGTTAGTGCAAAAAAAGCCCATGAAAGAAAGGCCTCATTGGCTGAGCATCTCTTTTGCCTCCCTCCTAAGAGAGCGCATATACCATTCAGAATTAGGCTTAGCACCCACTCTTTCTGCCTTCAGGAGCGGAATCAAGTCTTCTTCACAAGTCAGACCTTGGGAATTAGATTAATCATTGTCTTCTGCTTTGCTGACTTTTTGACCGTTAGCGCCTTCTTAGAGTAGAAAGGCCAACACACATTGCAATAATAGTAAATAGAATACATAATGAATAGGAAACAGACTTAGGAATGAATTCATGTGAAAGTGACTTAGAACTAATTTGTCCATTGCTAGTTATGGAGATATAATTGCAGCTATAAAGTCATCATTTTTGCTCTTCTGTAAAGTTGCAAGTAACGTGGGGCTGGTGAAACATTGCAGTCTCTTTCTGGAGCCTGATATTCTTCTCCTTTACTCATTTTACTAGTTTGAAAAGGATGTTTAGGAGGGGGAAAATAATAATAATAACAACAACAACAACAACAACAGCAGCAGCAGCAGCAGCAGCAGCAGCAAAAGAAACCAAAGGTACTACCAGTAGTTATAGGTGCCTTAGGTGCAATCTCAAAATGTCTGGAGCACCACCTGAAGACCATCGGCA